CAACCATCTACCGGTCCACACCCGATCTCTGGAGTCGACAAGTCAACTTAAAGTACATGGTCAAGATCAAACTACCAGGCAGGAGAACACGAATAACAACCATCTACCGGTCCACACCCGATCTCTGGAGTCGAAGAGTCAACTTAAACTACATGGTCAAGATCAAAATGCAAGGCAGGAGAACACGAACAGCAACCATCTACCGGTCCACACCCGATCTCTGGAGTCGACAAGTCAACTTAAAGTACATGGTCAAGATCAAACTACCAGGCAGGAGAACACGAATAACAACCATCTACCGGTCCACACCCGATCTCTGGAGTCGAAGAGTCAACTTAAACTACATGGTCAAGATCAAAATGCAAGGCAGGAGAACACGAACAGCAACCATCTACCGGTCCACACCCGATCTCTGGAGTCGACAAGTCAACTTAAAGTACATGGTCAAGATCAAACTACCAGGCAGGAGAACACGAACATCAACCATCTACCGGCCCACACCCGATCTCTGGAGTCGATGAGTTAGCTGAAGGCCATGCAACAAACACGAATGAATATGCCGAGTGAATATCGCAACCGCATACAGTATCCCGCAAGGGGGTACAAAAACAAATCAGCCAGCCACAAAACACAGAACAGGCATGTTAGTGTGCACTGCCGCCCTCAGCGGTCTGTGGTGTTGACACTGGGTGCAATGCTATCCCAGGAACAGCAAATGAAAAAGGACCATGAACTATAGATATCCGTCACGCAAGCCCCTCAGGCAAGTGAGCTCGTGGGCTCTTTCTCTCTCAAGCACCAGGGGTCTTCTCCTACCCCCCATACACTTCACACACATCCACGTACCCCCCATCAGGCGCATACAGCGCATGTAGCTCGGACACATCTCCAAAGCACCACAAACGAGGCAAACCCACTGCGACGCACACCCATCACACACAGCTCGAAAAAACAAAACATGCCGGAAGAAAGTGCCAGATATCACCACCGAGTACACGGAAAAAAAAAAGGGATGCTTCCGTTAGCTCGGCTACAGCGCGCGTTCTCACGTACCGTCTCACAAACAACGTCTACTCCGGCTGTTGTAAATTTTTAGGGGCAACCACTTCGAAGTGTCACCTTTCGGTTGCAGTCGCGGGGCCCCCGTCCCCTCGCTCACCGTCGCGGCGAAAGTCGGCGGGGGCGACCGCGGGAAACCGTCGAGTATCGCGGCGGCGGTAGCGGTAGTGGAAGTGCGAGCGGCGGCCTTCCCAGGGTGCGAGCGTCACACGGCGGTTACGCCCTCGCTGGAGCTGGCGGCCAGCGACGGTCGCCTCGCGGGGGGCGGGGAATCCACGCACCCGCCGGACAAGCTGTGCAGCCGCTCGAGCTTGCTGGCCGTCGTGTCTGTTTCGTCTTCCTAGCGCAGCGCCGCTCTTCCCCTGCCGTACACGACGGAAGCGGGGACGTTCGAAGACTCGGCATCGGACGCATTGCCCCCGCCGGGGCGGGGAGGACGGCGGGCGACGCCGACGCGGGCGGCGCGGGGGCCGCGGCCGCCACCGCTACCCCGCCGCGAGGCCTGCTCGGCAAACAGGGAAGCAGCAGACGGCCGGTGTCTGCCGTTGCCTTGGCGGCGGCGGCCCGCCGCCGGTCGCGCGGCGGCTCTCAGTGGGCTCTCCGCAACGCTGCAAAGCGTCGCATCGGCGGTACCGCCGCCACCGGCTGCGAAGGAGGACAGGAAGGAGTCATCGATGTTCGACAGGCCGACGCTGCTGAAGCTGAGGGCTCTCCCTTGCTCTCTGCGGTGGGGAAGCTCGAAGGCTCCCGCGATGCGGCTGGTCTTGCCGCTGGTGCTGTAGACGCTCTCCAGCTCCACGGAGTCCTCCATGATGACATCATCGTCGCCGTCTTTGTCGGCGGAGGAACCGCCGCCGCTTCGGCAAGAGTTTTTCTTGTGACGGCGCCCCCTGGCTCGCTTTGGCCTGCAGAAAACAAGGCGAAAATAACAGATAAAAAAAACAACAGAATGAAAAGAGGTTGGTGTATTCTGTTGTAGCGGCGCCCCTTGGCTCGCCTTGGCCTGCAGAAAACATGCGAAACAAAACATAACAGATGTACCAGGTAACCCCCGAGCCCGGTTCTCGGAGTGCACACCATGTGACGGAGAGATACGCCAAAGGAATAGGGTGGATCCCGTGACTAGTTGAGTTGTAGAAATGAAGATCTTACTACACCTTGGAGAGCGGCCTTATTCTTATCAACATGTGATGGGGTAGGGGCCAGGGTGAGCACATGTTGACGCCTTGGCCTTCATTCTTCCTATTTAGCGGTCGTCTGGCCCAGCGAGAGCCATACCAACAAAGACGCTTCCTCTAACATTAAACAAGACCTCTAGGCGGCTGAAGACCAGCAACAACAAACGGCCCATGCATCGCAAGCCAAAACACCACGTCAGAGGACCCTGGGAGAGCTCGCCTCTCCACGTCTTCGCAGCCCACCGAAGAGCCGCGTTCCGCTCGATCGTCACCGCCAGCTTCGCCCACGCGGTCGTGCTTCCACATCGCGACGCCGTCGCCGCCGCCGCCGGCCTCCGCCGCTTCTTCTTGCTTCTCCCCCCACCCACCGGAGTTCTTCTGCGCCGAAAACACTGGGGACCCAATGCTGTCGCCGTCCCCGCCGCCCCGCCCGCCGTTGGCGGCGACGTCGGCGGGAGGGGCGTTCTGGTTCGATTTTTCCAACCAGGACCCCAGGTCGTCCCGTAGCTCGGAATTGGCCTGAATCGCAAAAAAGGGTGTCGGAAATCGGTCGTTGCAGTCGTTGTTATTTTTTTGGGGGGGGAGAGGGGGTGGCGCCGCAGAATAGTTTGGGTTGTAACCCTTTCGCGATTGTCAGAGGCGAGCAATATCATCATTGCCCAAAATACTGCTATGGGACAGAGAATAACAAGGGAAAACAGAAAAAGACTAGCAGAAATAAAACAAGTAAGTCCGCACCTGCATAGAAATGTAGGCCTGGGAAAGGATGGCGATGATCATCATGACGTGCACGGCGATGAGAAGCAGGCCGAAGGCTTCTTGGCTCTGAGCCTCTTCGTCCGAGACGTCGGCCTTGGCCATCAGCCCCAGGAAGTTGGAGAAAAAAATCGTGATGCAGCCCTGAAAAACAATCAACACGCCAGGGGCACGCCAGATTGGAGAAGGGACACGAACGATGTGCGCGCTTGCAATGTGGTACTACAATACATGTGCCGTCAAAAACCGTCCAAAACGGCGACAGACGCCTGGACATCCTGTCACCCCATTCAGCTGTGAACGTACGCGCGGTCGTGAGAACGACGTTTTCATGTGCTCCCATTTTTCTGATTGCCCAACACTGGCGGCCAATAGTTTCTGGTTGGCTGACAGTCCTTCGGCGGTGAGCGCCGTCAGCCAAAGGCCGAAACGCTTCATTTTTGGTCGAGAAGCATCGGCGCCTTACCTCTTGTCTCACTTTTGTCCGAGGTGCCACCAGACGGCGTCACCACACTCCGTTTGCCCGTACAGTGCCGGTGTTTTCGGCGGGCGCACATCGAAACTACCAAGCCACTCTGCACGGCTGTGAATGGTGCCCGTGTCCGGTATTTTAGTGCCGGACAATTTTCTGGGCACATGCACCGCCGCGAAACAGAGACCTCTACTGTACTGTTCGCGTTTTCTCCGCCCGTAAACCTCGCCTCCAAGCGAGACTTGCACCTACCGACAGCCCTGTGTTCACATACCTACAATCATGTGCTCTCGCGCGACACTGCGATAAGTTGGGGGGTTTGTTTCAGATATTTATTTCAATTATCAGCTTTGGGGGACGCAATATATACACACGGAGAAAAGGCTCCACTTACGATGCGGTACATCCAAGCATCGGTGTGAGAGAGGTGCGGGCGGAGGAGCTCGAAGCCCAGAAGACCGACAAACGCGAAGACGCTCGCTCCGGCAGCCTGGCCAGCCGTATTCGGCAGCACAAACACTTTTGGGTCGGATATATATCGACGTTTAGGTGTAGCGCACGGCAGGCAAAAGGAAGAAGGGAAAAGGTTGGAAAACGGGGGAGGGGTTGTAAAACAATATAAAAAGAAACGTAGGTGTGCAGAACCTACATCACCAATTTCGAGGGAGAAAGGGAAAACGATGAAACGAGTAAACGTCGGTGATTAGCGTAAGGTCGGCGGTCGTACCAACCATCGCTTTTTTATAACGAACAGAATGGTAATGTTTCCTTCGTGTGCCAAAAAAATGCCGTCGGTAAGCCCCGGCCTGAAACCCGCTTTTTTCGCCGGAAACTGTTACAAACGAGACACAAATACTAACCTCCTTCATTCCAGCATTGCTGGAATACGAGGTCCATGGTCTGCCGACTACATCATGCAATTACTGAAGTACATCCCCCCCCCCGGTGTTTACCATCGGGGTTGGGTTTTCGTCGCTTGGCAACGACGTTGTAAAACAAGCCAATTAATTCACTTCGTGAACTCGGCAACCCGGTTACCGTTTTTTTTTTTTACCTCCGTTTTTTTTTGGCGGTAACCATAGTGGTGGTCGAGTAGATCATGTTGTGCAGGGCCGAGAACCCTCACTCCGCGCAAGGGGGATGATCGCACCACGTTGTGTTGAAATGGTCAAGCACCCTC